CAGGGGGCCGAGTGGGAGGGGCCAGGTCTAGTGCGGCCCCCGAGCAGACTCAGCAACATCGCAGGGCAGCCCTTCGTGTCCTTCATCGCATGTGCCAAGTGTTCCTTTGCTTCTTTATTGATTTTGCTGCCTTGCTTTGCAAGGTTTTCCCCAGGACTTCACCATAATAATGTTTTCTAGTGAGGCTAATGATGTCTCCCTTAAGAGGCATTAATATTGGAATAAATTGTTCTTAAGGTGCATCGACTTATGAAGTAAACTGTAGTAAGCACGCTGCAGTGTTCCACGGAGCACGGTACACATCATAATATATAGAAAACTGTCGGGTATTCATAACTTTAACTTCCTGAATCAGTCCACAAGGGATGGGATGCCTTTCTAGAACAATCTCTGTCAGAGAGGAAAGCTCACCCAATGCTTCATCTGAAGGAGGTGGGGTGCTTGGCGGGAGCAGCCTGGGTGGTCACTAGGGATGGAGGAGGCCCCGGGAACCCCTCTGCACAGGAAGAAGGTACAGAGCATCTTCGAGACCTTCGTCCCCCTCTGGCCCATTGGAGATTTCACTGCCTAGACCCCGAAACCACAGCTTCAGGAGGACTTCGCTGCTTTGGAAGCTCTCTTCTTTAATGGTAGGTGTCAAATGCATCGCCGTATCTAAATATTCAATTCATTAACTATTAAACATCCATTCTAAACAGCACTGTGAAATGCACATGAGAGCGGCTGTGTTATACCTTAATACAAAATTCAATAAATCTGTCGCCCCAAACTTTCCGACCTCGTTACAAAGTTGTGTGCTCACCGCTTGCCACCAAAGATGTGTCAGCTCCGTTGCCTCTCCTGGAAGCCAAAATGTCCAGGCGGCGGGCACGCAAGAAGGATGCCGGGGGATGGGGTGGGAATTGGCCACTGTCACCCGGGAGACATGGGAAATGAAGCTTTGCTTGTTTTGTGCATCCCCCAGAGAAACTACTGACTCAGTTCAAAGGACCCTCAGGCTTTGCCACCAAAGCAAACCCACATGTGTCCATGCCTGAGACCACAGTAGCTCCCGCAGCACGGGCAGGGCAGGGAGGACCACTGGCCCAGACCTGTGGGCCGCCCATGGGGTTAGCGCCCTGCAGGGTCCACTAGCTCTGTGCAGAGGGGACTGGCAGGCAGCAGGGCCCCCACCATCCTGGGCCACTGGGAGATGAGCCCTAGGGGACAACAAAGCAAAGAGGACCCAGGGGCTGGCCAGAGTCTCGGAGCCATCAATTCTAGTGCACAGACACTCAGAACCATCTCCATGGAACCTCTGCCAACCACGAGGAGCTTGGCATGGGGCAGGGGGCAGCCGGGCACACAGGGCAGCTGACTGGCTGGTTAATTAACTGACCCACTAGGTGTTCTCTCCTCCCTCTTCACAGTGTTGCTTCTGCCTGGGCGTCTCTCTGGAAAGATCTCATCTTGCCGTGCTGCATCTCAAGTGAGGCCACACTCCACCCACCGCGCCAGCTGCCATGCCGGCAGAACATCGCCTAACTCCTGCTGCACTTTGGGCTTCTCCTTCTCTCCGTCCCGAGGCTGCCCCCTGCTCCTCTGGCGCCAGCTCATACCTTGCATGTGGTACCTGCTCCATAATCCTTCCTGAACTATTGAAAGAACAGATGAACATCCTGCATGGCCTATGAGAGAATGCACGAGTGTGGGCCCCACAAGGCCCCATCCCACCTTCCGTGTTAAACATGAATGGCACTGCTTGACACATTTTCAACACAACCCACAGTAGGAAACGTGGTTTATGCTGGACCAATCCTCACATGTTTATATCTCACGTGTGGTCTATTCTAACCTTTTAGCCTCTCTGAAATGCACTCTGTCTTACAAAGACCCCGCCTTGCAATGAAACGCTGCCTGGCACCCTCCTCAACTCACTTGAGTTGCCCATCTTTTTGGTACCACGTGGGGTGAACTTCATTTTTGTTAAAATGTCTTCAAAGAGAGTCACTATGATTCAGCGTTGAAATGAAAGAATTTTGAGTACGTAGAATGGTACCAAAGCAGGGCAGCTGATTCGAATTCAAATCAATATTGAATCAGAATTCAATATTAGGGAAGCAGGGCTTCCCTGGTGGCACGGTGGTTGAGAAACCGCCTGCCAATGCAGGGGACACGGGTTCGAGCCCTGGTCCGGGAAGGTCCCACATGCTGTGGAGCAACTAAGCCCGTGCGCCACAACTACTGAGCCTGCGCTCTAGAGCCCGCAAGCCACAACTACTGAAGCCCACACGCCTAGAGCCCGTGCTGCGCAACACGAGAAGCCGCCGCAATGAGAAGCCCACACACAGCAACGAAGAGTAGCCCCTGCTCACCACAACTAGAGGAAGCCTGCACGCAGCAACAAAGACCCAACTCAGCCAAAAATAAATAAATAAATCAGTTAATTAAAAAAAAACATTAGGGAAGCAAATACGCATCATTGGGAGAATGACTGGGAGGCCACGTGGTTTTCTGCAAAACAACATCCAGTGGTTTATGAACCTGAAGGAAAGAAGAGGCCCATAAGTAGGTGAGGCTGGGTTGTGTTTGGTGACCAAGACACATGCAAAAGGACTGACTATACTACCCCCAGCAATGCAGCCCAAGGCAGGATAAATGGCCAAGGCCTACACAGTAGACAAGGAACTCAAAGCACCAAGAAGCTGTTGGGACTGATTCTGGTGTTCCGAATGCCTGTCATTTAATGCGTTTCATCATGGTTTAATTGGCTGTGTGTTTTCTTAGTTGTTCATAAAATTATAGTACAGTGGGCCCTCCATATCCATGGGTTTTGCATCTGTGGTTTCAACCAAATGCAAATACAATACTCAGCCATTTTACAAAAGGGCCGTGAGCATCCTCGCATCTTGGTATCTACAGAGGTTCTGGAGCCAATCCTCAGGGTCAACTGTACCTCTTACAACTTCTAGCACTTAGATCGATGAACTAAAAAATGCTTAACTTAAGAAGGTTTTGCAAACCAGTATCTTTAGTGTGCAATTCACTAGAAATATTTTCTCTTTTGTTCTATTTCATTGTTTAAAAATTCTGGCCATGACCTACTAAACTGATTTCCTGGCCACTTGATAGGCTGTGGCCTGCAATTTGAAAAGATGCTGCTGGCAGCCACCTCCTCTACTACATGCAGGAACCCCACCCGGGAGGTGGGAGAGAGGCGTGGAGTCTGAACAAGTGCCGTCCAATAAAAATGCAACAGGAGCCACAGACACAGTCGAAAATTTTACACTTTTCACGTGAAAAGTGTAGAAAGAAGCAGGTGAAATTAATTTTCATACTATATTTCATTTAGCCCAACATATCAAAAGATACCACCTTAACACGCAAACAAATATGCAAAATTTCTTAATGAGCTATTTTATACCCTTTTCTTCCTATTAAGCCTCTGAAATCTTAGTTTACACTTAAGCCCACTTAGTTCAGACTAGACAGGTTTCAAGTGTCATAACATTAGAGAGCACATCTCTAGAGCCAGGGTGAGCAAGCCTTTCGTGTAAGGGCCCAGGTAATAAATATCTTAGGCTCTGCCAGATGATGGTCTCTGGCAAAACTGCTCAACCCTGCCTTGTTGTGTGAAAGCAGACACAGGTATCACTTAAATGCTTCTGCTCGTGTTCCCGTAACAATGCACTTATAAGAAAAGCCAGCAGGACAGATGTGGCCTGAGGGCCAGAGTTTGCCGACCCCTGATGCGGGTCACTCCCCGCCCGAAACCATCACCGTCTCAGGACTCTCCAGCTCAAGCCAACAAACCCTCTTTTTACCATTTGCTCAAGCGATCATCAAATTCCCAGTTAAGATCTACCGTCTCAAGCTCCTGTCTGCTGCGGCCGCTAGGCAGCCCTCAGCGGTGCCCTGGGTCAGAGTTTCCTCCCAGCTTTCTGTTCACTGCTCAGCCTTTGCTGCTTCCGCCCCCTTCCATCCGCAGTTCTCCTGAAGGCTTGGCATCGCCTCTCCTCCCTCCCGCTCTCCCCATCTCCGTTTCTCTTCTAGGAGGCATTGGCTGGGTTCTCCTGCCTTTGAAAAGCATGGGGGAACGTGAGGTTGACTTCATGAAGGCACACTGTCTCTCATGGACTGGAACCCCCAGCCCAGACCAGAGAGTAGGGAGGCCTGTCGGGCTGGTTCAGGGAGAGCTGGCCAGACAGGCAGGAATGGCCCTCCGGCCCTCCAAGTGCACGGCCTGCGTCCGGGTCTACAGAAAAGCTCCCACTGTGTCCCTGGTCCCTGCTGCCTGGAGGCCCCAGCACTGCAGCATCCCTCATGGCTTGGTGTCAGCCAAATGGCTCCAACATCTGATTTTAGCTCGCTCAGCCCTGCACAGGAAATGATTTCCAAGTGACAAACATTAGCCTTGTGGCTCCCAAATGCCGGAAAGAAGCGATCCCCAAGTGATGGTGGCAGGTAGCAGACCTCCCTAGGTTTCCCTGCCAGGTCCTCACCTTTCCGTGGGCAATTCCTTGTCCCCAGCTGGCCTCCGATGCTGCGCGGGGCCGGGAGGGACCTGACCGATGAGTTGCTGCCCTGAGGGTTCTGGACTTGGAGCTCTGTCGGCTGAGGCAGACCCACTTGGGGGCCGTTGGCAGCCACGTGGAGAAAGCTGATGCACCGCACAAGTGAAGGGAACCAAGTGCAGGGAGCGGGGAGGCAGCTGGAGGGGCCTGGGGGCATTCGTGGCCCTGGATGTCACATCCAGCCCTGGTTTGTGCTTGCTTTCCTAGGGGCTGAGTGGCTCTTAGAGACACCTCCAAGTCCTTTCCACAAGCCCCTGGCTGCCTTAGCCAGCTCCCATTTTGTTCTGACCACTTGCAAATAAATGAGTCCTATTAAGTCCTATTAAATAAGTGTGATCTAATGCAAGTGGGCAAAGTGCAGTGAACGCACAGAGGGGAGAAAGGGGCAGGGACGGCCTGGGGGCTGCAGCCTGTCTGAGGCCAGAGGCCCGGGGCCTCCCTTCTTACCCGTGGTCCCGCAGTCCTGGGCTTGGTTTAGCCTCCCCTGCCTGGGGAAGGAAGCACCTGCTCGTCTTCCATCCCTGGGGAGAGAAGCAAGAAAAGAAGCCCTTCTCTTCAGAAAACACTTGTGACTTAGTTAATATCACACGCTGCTTTGGGGCATCACAGGGGTGAACTGGGGAGTGAGAAAGTCTCTCCAAGATGGGACAAAGGGGGCTGCTCTTCACAACATGCTTCCTGCACAGGGTTAAATCGTGTCTCCCCAGGTGCACGTCCACCCAGAACCTTGGAAGGTGACAATTGGCAATAGGTCTTTGCAGGTGTCATTGGTTAAAGATGAGGTCATTCTGGATTAGGGTGGGCCCCAAATCCAATGGCTGGTGTCCTTGTAAGGAGAGGAGAGACACACACAGAGGAACAGAACACACAGGGACAACGTCCACGTGACGATGGAGGAGCTGCCATCCGAGGAACCCCAGCGAATGCCATAAGCCAGGGAGGCAGGAAGGATGCCCTGCGGCGTCCAGAGGGAGGGCACTGCCGCCACCTTGGCTTCTGGCCTCCAGACCGTGAGAGAATAGATTCTGCTGTTTTAAGTTGCCCACTTCGTGGCACTTGGTTACAGCGGCCCCAGGACACTAGTGTGGGGAGCAACTCCTTAGTCGGGCCCCCCGCCAGGGCCCGGCACCCACCTGGGCTTCTGGTTCTGAACTCTTAGCAGCCAGCGGCTCCCCTGACACACAGCCCTCACTCTGCTTCCTGCAGCTCTGCGGACTCCTGGACCTCCTGAAGAATCTGCTCTGTCCTGGGAAGCACCTGCCCACACCTGGAGACCCCCAGTGCCCCTTTACCTGGCTTCCCTTTGCCCTGTGAAAAAGGCCACTTTGACGGTGACCTCAGAGGATGCCAGTGCCTGTGTCTGCATCTGCCTCCCTCACGTACTGAGCTCCTGGCGGGGACCCCGGCCCTGGCCATCTCCACGCTTGGCCGGAGAGGACGCACTTAAGGAAGCACCAGTTGGGGCTTCGCCGGCAAAGCAGGGATTTGAGAAACAATTGTTCCTGTTCATCACGGGCCTGATGTATCCGTTCCAAACTCTTGTTGCCTGGATGGATTCATTTCTCCTCATGACATCTGACGGGGGTCATGCTCCGATCCCCATTTGGTGTGTGAGGTGACAGAGGCCTCACATGTCCAAGTGGTCCCGGCACCCCTGCCAGGAGATGGGGCCTTTCAAGAGGTGACTGAGGTTACAGGAGGTCATCAGGTCATCCGCTAGGACTGGTGTTCTTATGAGAAGAAACACTGGATACACGTGACCACAGAGGACAGACATGTGAGGACACAGGGAGGAGGTGGCCATCTACAAGGCAGGGAGAAAGGCCTCAGGAGAGCCAACCCTGCCCACACCTTGATCTTGGATGTCCAGCCTCCAGGACTGTGGGAAGATAAATTTCATCTTGTTTAAGCCCCCCAGCCTGTGGTACTTTGTTACAGCTGCCCTAGCAGACAAATACAGCAAAGCCTCCTTGATCTTATTTGTCCTTAAAATTCAATTTTTAAAATCGATTCATTGGTTGATACTCTGCCATATTCCAAGATGGGTGTGAGTGTTTCAAAATCTATGTTGACAGATCGAGGGTTGCCATGAACATTGTTGGAAGCTCCCCTGCCCCCCACCCCCAGGGCTGCGAGAATGATGCTCTCACCTTTCCAGGCCTGTGACTCAGGGGCTCACGTTCCACGTGGTGGTTTCACGGGTACCAGTTTGCAGCCCTGATGATGGGTCACCGGTGGGAAGATGCCGTGACAGCACGTGGGCAGGTCACTGGTGTTGTGTCCAAAGCATTGTCAGTGTTTCCTCAGGTTTCACACTGCTTGTATGATACACAATAGAGGGTTTCGGCCTCTGAGCTCTTCAGATCCTTCTCCCACAAAATTTAGGAGGCACCCACGTGCCCCTGCAGAGTATTCTCTGTCAGGCAATTTCAAGGGATGCTCACAGAGGAGCTTTTTCCTCTTTTGAAATGCACTTAGAAATGGTTGTGTTGTTGAGGATTCCAAGTGCTCCCAAGTACTGGGATGTTCTCCCTAATGTGAAATGTTTTCCCCTCAAGCTCCCAAGAATTCATGCAAGCGTGCCCAGTGTTCAGGTTTGGATCAGATCTCCAGCGCTGGCTGCTGCGGCAGGGGGGTAGAGAAGTAATTCAGGCGTTCTAGTCGGGTGATGAAAACCGCTGCGTGCACATTGAGACACAGAAAAGGAGCAGCTGAAACCATTTCCTTGTGGGGTCCCAATGAGAAACAGGCCTGTTAGTCCCATGGATGCACGGAGGGGGCCAGGCAGTGACGTGCCTGGCAGGTGAGCGCACTGAGCCAGGGCCAGGTGCTGAGGTCCTCTGCGCTTCTCTCCTCCAGCTGCGCTCCTGAGCGGGGAGGACTTGCCTGGGGACTTCCCCACACCTGTGGCTCGTCGGCCATAAAGGAGGTCCTATGAAGCCCCAGACCACCGAGTATAAACAAGTGCCCATGACCTGGACTCCAGGCCCAAGATCTGCCAGGGAGCACGGCCCCGGCCAGTGAGAGACAGGAGTCAGGTTGCGGCGTGACATTGGCCAATGCCACAGGCTATGCCTCAGAGCAGCAGGACCTGGGTGACACCCAGTGTCCTAATGGCTCACAGGGCTAAAGGGTCCTGAGTGAGGGGACACCCACACACCCTCCACCATGCTCACAGCCCCCAGGATTGTGAGATGAAAGCAGAATGGTGGTCTCGAGGGGCTGCAGGGCGAGGGAGAAACGGGGCATTTATTCATGGGTACAGAGTTTCGGCTTTGCAAGATGAACAGCTCCGGAGACTGACTGCAGAACACTGTAAATATACGTAGCACTACTGATCTATACACTTAAAAATGGTAAATTACACTGAAGACAGGGAATTTTTATGTTATGTGTATTTTACCACAATGAAAAAGAAATGAAAAAACAGCAAGTCCCAGCTGTAATAGTTAGCTTAAATAGGTTCCTTTAAAATCGTTACTTTAAAATGAAAACTCAGATAGGCTGGGCACAAATAGATGGAAAAAGACATGCCCTGAAACCAGTAAGCATAAGAAGGCTAGGCTGGCGACATTAACACCAGACAAAACAGAACTCAGATAGCAGTAAAAGAAAGGAGGAGGAACATCTCATCCTGACTAAAACGTCCACTCATCGGGCTCATCAGGCATGTGGACCCAGAGCCAGCACTCCGGTCCCCTCTCCACAGGCAGAGTCCCTGCTCTCTTTCCCTCTCTGGCTCCCCTGCCCCAGGTCAGGCAGAGTGGTAGGCTGTGCCCTGCCATCCTAGGAAGACAATCTCTGGCGAGGGCGGAATTGTCCAGAACTAACCTCTCGCTCGGGCTGCGTGTCCAGGTCAACAGCCTGCCCCTGGGCTCGGCCACCAGCCTGCCTGCACGGGCCCACGGGCCCCGCTCACAGACAGCATCCCAGGCTGCGGCCCAGAGCAGAGAGGCCAGAGGGGCTGGGCAGCGGCGGCCAGGCTTGCCCAAAGGAGGGTGTTCCTGGGAACTCTGCACTGGAAGGCACAGGGGAGCAGGGCAGAGGGGAGAGCCCCAGTCCTGAATCTGGGGTTTTCCTTCCTGTTTTAGTCAAAGCAGGTACCAGTATGTGAGGAGTGGACACAGCCCTGATGTGTCTGGACCTCAGGGCTCTGAGCATGGGGGAGGGTGTGTGGACGCCCCTCAGTACTCCGGGCTGTGAAGAAACATCTTTGCATAATGTCTTCAAGGTTCACCTATGTTGTAGCTTGTGTCAGGATTTCCTTCTTTTTAAGGCTGAATAATACTTCCTTGTATGTATTTACCACATTTTGCTTATCTTTTCACCCATCGATGGACATATAGGTGGCCGCCCACTTTTGACTACTGTGAATAATGCTGCTATGAACATGGTGTACAAATATCTGTTCAGGTCCTTGCTTTTCGTTCTTTTGGGTATATACGTAGAAGTGGAGTTGTCGGATCATACAGTAATTCTGTTTTTAGTTTTGAGTAATTACCACACTGTTTTACATGGCAGCTGTGCCATTGTACATTCCCACCAATAGTGCACAAGGATGCCAATTTTTCCACATCCTCGCACCCTGTTATTTTCTGGGTTTTTCACTGTCGCATCCTAATGAGTATGAGGTGTGGGTCTTGCTTTTTAAAGTCCATTCTGACACCCTCTGCCTTTTAACTGGCATGCTCAGTTCACTAAAATTTAACGTAATTTTTGATGTGGTCGGATTTAGGCTAATTTAAGTATTTGTTTTCTTTTTGTTCCCTCCGTTTTGTGTTCCTCATTTTCTGCCTTCTTCTGGATTAGTTGAATATTTTTTAAAAATCCATTTCAATTAACCTACTGTGTTTTAGCTATGCCTCTGTACATTACACTATTAGTGGTTGCTTACAGATTAAAGTATACATAATGCACCCTTGACTTTTCAGTCTAGTTAGAGTTAATACTGTAGCACCATAAGTAAAATGTAGAAACCTTATAATTGTATAGGTCCATATGTCCCCCCAGTCCTTTCATCTATAGTTGTCATGGGTATTGTATCCACATACATAATAAACCCCAGAAGAAAATGTTACAGCTTTTTGCTTTAAACAGTCTTATGGGGTTTTTTTTGTGGTACGTGGCCCTCTCACTGTTGTGGCTACTCCCGTTGCGGAGCACAGGCTCCGGACGCGCGGGCTCAGTGGCCATGGCTCACGGGCCCAGCCGCTCCGCGGCATGTGGGATCTTCCCAGACCGGGGCACGAACCCACGTCCCCCACATTGGCAGGCAGACTCTCAACCACTGCGCCACCAGGGAAGCCCCAGTCTTATGTATTTTAAAGAAATTAAGATTTTAACATTCATTTATATGTACCCACATATTTCCCAGTTTTGATACTCTCCATTACTTCTCTAAAATCTGAATTCCCAACTGGTATCATTTCCCTTCAAAGAACTTCTTTTAGTAGTTCTCATAAATAGCAACAGATTCTCTGTTATTTAATCTGAAAACATTTTCCTTTTTGAAGGATACTGTCCCTGGTTATAGACTCCTAGGTTGACAGGTTTGTCTTTCAGCATCAAACACATCGTTCCACTGCCTTCTGGCCGCCATAGTTTTTGATGAGAAGTCTGCAGTCACTCAGATCGTATCCTTCACGTACAATGTGTACAGTTTTTCTTTGGCTGCTTCAGAGATAGCCTCTTCCTTTGATTTTCAGCAGTTTGACTATGATGCTCAGACATGGTTTTATTTATATTTATCTTGTTTGGGGGCTCACTGAGCCTTTTGAAATTCAAATTTAGGTGTTTCACCAAATTTAGGAAATGTCTTGGCCACTATAACTTTGAATACTTTTTTCTCCTACATTCTCTGCTTTCTCTCCTCTTGGGATTCAAATTGCATATGTGTTAGATGTTTTGATATTGTCCCACAGGTTCCCAGGGCTCTCTTCATTATTTTCAACCTGTTTTCTTTCTCTTCGTCGGATTGGATGATTGACATTCATCTATATTGAAGTTCACTGACTCAGATTTTAATCTATTATCTCCGTTCTGGTAATAAGCCAATCCCCTGAATATTTTATTTCAAATATTTTTCAATTATTTTTTTCAGTTCTAGAATTTCTTTTTGGTTCTGATTTTTATAGTTTCTGTTTCTTAGCTGAGATTTCTTATCTCTTCTTTCACTGCCAGCATATTTTTCCTTACTTAATTGCGTGTAGTTATAATATCTTCTTTAAAGTTGTTGCCTTCTAATTCCAGCATCTTGGGGGTCACCTCAGGATTGTTCTCAGCTGGTTGACTTTCCTCTGGAGACTGAGTCACATTTTCCTGTTTTGTTTTTTTTTCATATGTCAAGCAATTTTAGACTGTATCCTGAATGTCATGTGTTGGGAATGTTATGTTGCAGAGATTCTGGAGTCTATTCTAATCCTCCAGAGAATGTTGACTTTTTTGTTTTGGTAGGCAGTTAACATGACTGGACTTAAATTGCAAACTCTGTCTTTTGTATCAGCCCAAATCACAGTGCAGATCTTTTATTTTAGCTAAACTGCTTTGATTCTACCTACAAACATGTGTGGTTCAGATATCAGTCAGAGATTTGGGTAGAGTTTTTTCTTTTTGTGCAGAGTTTTTAGTTTTTACATGCAAGAGGGTTAGGTCCAGTAGGAGTTTACTTGGCTATTACCCGTATGCTTGTTTCCAATGCACAGGTGTTTTGTTCACCTGTCACAAAGCTGGGAAGCCTCTGAGCAGATGACTCAGTGACAGGCAGAAACAGAAGAAATTAAGGAGTAAAAGGTTAACTCTCTCTAGGCTGAGGGCAGAGCCAGCTGTGGGCAAATCTGCCTGTATTAGTCTGCTCAGGCTGCTACCACTATGTGGCTCAAACAACAGAAATTCATGTCCTCACGGTCCTAGAGGCTGGAAGTCCAAAAGTAAGGTGTCAGCAGGTTTGGTTTCTTTCTGAGGTCTCTCTCCTCGGCATGTAGATGGCCGTCTTCTCCCTGTGTGTCTGTCTTTTCCCTCTGTGTGTGTCTGAATCTCCTCTTCCTATGAGGACAACAGTCATATTGGATTGGGACCGACCCTAATAACCTCGTTTTAACCTTAAATACCTTTAAAGACTCTTTCTCCAAATAGAGTCACATTCTGAGTTACCGGCAACTAGGACTTCAATATATGAAGTTTGAGAAGGAAACAATTCACCTCATAACACTGCCCTTCAAAGGCTAAGGACTGCCCTCTCTTAAAAGACTGTAATTAATTCAGCTGATCCACCCAGTGGCACCGTGTTATCCCTATATTATGATGAGGAAACTGAGGCTCTGGAGGACGCAGTCATGGAGCTACTGAGTGGCACATCTGGTGCCCACTTCCCACATCAGCCTGTCTAACTGGGAGCCCATTTTGGGTCTTGGGCTCTGGTCCTCCAAGCCCAGTAGGTCGTGGGCACCACCACACACCTCAGGACCTCCCAACACAGTACCAAAAGTACCAACTGGGGCAGAGCCCATGTTGGACAGAGGGGTCCAGATAGTTCTGTGGGCTCTGTCTGTGGCTCAGAATTGCCTCCTGGCAGCACCAACAGCCTGACCCAGAGGCAGGCAGCTCTCTCCTCAGGCCCCCAGCACCAGGGCCGGAGCACTTCTAAAAGCCCTCACCTGAGAGGAGGGCTCCTCGCTCATCGGCAGCTGCCTTCTGGCTGTGTGGTGTCGTGAGCATCCAACGTCTCCATGGCCTGTATCTGACGACCCGAGCGAGAAGTGACGTGGCTCCATATGGGTGTGAATCACTGTACAGTGTCTGAGTTCCCAGAGGACGGCCTGGCTACACAGCCCACCGCAGGGACTGCTGCGGAAATGAAAGCTTCTAGCGATGTGTCCTCTACGCAATGGGGTTGGCTCTTCCGAGGTGTAGCTGGAGGGAAGATGCGACACCTGGAATGAACAGAATTGGAATGTTTGGGAAACTTGGCTTCAATGTCATGTTAAAGTGCAGATAATATTGAAGAGTCTGGACCAGCCCTGAGCCATGGGCCAGCCTGGACCAGCCCTGAGCCACCTGGAAGTCTGGGTGGAGATGGTGGAGGGGAGGGAGGGGACGGACAGGCAGAAAGGCTGCTGGCGTTGCAGTTCTGCACAGCTCCATTGCTGGCTCATTTTACATGGCAAAGAACATTTTTAACCAAGCGCTGCTGCCTTCCCCCAGCTTGACTCATGCAGTCATATTGATGCAGTGTATTCATGCAATTTGCCTCAATTACACTGTCTGGGGAACAGCTTGGCAACCCATTAATCTGCTGGTAAAGTACTCGGTAAACAAATTCAGAGAAGGATCACTCACAATCCTGAATTTCACCAACTCCCTTTTTGCACAAGGAGTCCGGGTGCTTGACCTCCCAGGAGGAAGCGATCGGCTCTGTCCTGTGTCCTAAGAGCCTGCCCTCTCCATGGGGTGGCCGCTGCCAAGTCCCACCCCACCGAGGAGGTGCCATGCACAGTGCATGTGCATCCTGCCATCAGGTAACTCTAGCCCAACATGTTGCCCCGTGTAGGGTCACAACAGGAAGATATGCAATTAAAGGGACAAAAATACCCCAAGGAAATCAACACGGGACTTAGCAATATCAGACACATAGGTGACAACTGTCAGACAATCAGTCAACAAGGGGCCCCGTGTCTGTGTGATCCTGGCTAACCCATTATGATCTTTGTGAAGTGTCCTTCTGGGGGGTCCGGATCTGCAGATAGGAGGGGAAACCCCTTCCCTTTTATTAGCAGCTAAGCTCTTTATACTTCAGCCATATTGCAGCAGGTTAGAAGTCTAAGCTTTATTGTCTTATGTTATTGAAAATCCAGGTTCCGGCGGCCTTCTCCCTCAGGTCACGCTTCGTCTGCGAATACATTCTCATTTTTCCATGTACGGAGAGCGTCTGGAGAGAGGCAGGAAAGATTAGGGCTGTAATATACTTGAATCCAGTTTATTTGCCTAGCCAGAAACTTCCACCCTCCGCAATTGCTTCCCACCCAAGATGTTGTCTTTAATTCTTTCATGACAGGAAGAAACACCGGCGCCGGCTCCCAGCAGGTCCAGGCAGAGAGGAAGGGCCTGCGCCCTGAGGTGTCCCTGCCAGTGGGGAACAGGGGTCCTGTTCCTGCCACAGACTGAAGTTTCTGGTTCTGAACTTCTCATTTGTTTAGGAGGAATGCATCTTCAGTGGCACGTCATTCATCAGAAGAGAAACACGTTCATTAGAGAACGGCGGGTGCAGAAAAGCCCCCTGGCCCGCAATTCCTGTTGCGGCCGCTCCCTCGTGCTTGGTGTCCTCCGGGAGCATCTTGTCCCCTGGCTGCCGGCTCCTGCGCACGTGTCGGCCCCGACCAGGGTGGTCCCCACAGCCGCTGCTAAGGTCCACCTTAGCCTGTGTGACCGACCCTCCACACTTTGCCGCTGGACACACACAGGAAGCCTGGGAGGGAAATGATCTGGGGGGATTATTTTGTTAATTAGTTTGCTCAATTTAAATGAGGGGACAGCAGGGTCCAGCTGCCTGGACGGTGCCCTCCCCATCCCCAGCCTGGCAGAACAATGCCTGTCTTGCTTTGGACTGCCCAGCCCCTGAATTTGGGACTGGGCTGTCCCCGGTTATTATCTGTAGACCCTGCCTACAGTCAGTCCAGTGTGGCTCAGGCCACAACTACTGAGCACCGACTGTGTATGCTATTCCATTCCAGGCCTCAACGAAGGGAGGAAGCAGAGACGGCAGCCCAGAAAGTGCTGAACTGGGGGCTCTGAGCTCAGGGCGAGGAGCAGGGCATGGGGACAGGGCCCCAGCTGGCAGGGAGCACCCAGGGAGGCGCTTGGGAGATGTTGCACAGAGTGACCAACTGAGGCCGGTTTGCCTGGAATGTCCCTGTTAACACTGAGAGTCCTGTGTCCCAGGAAACCCTCGGTAGCGGACAAACCAGGACAGTTGGTCACCCTGGCAGCCAGAAACCCAGCTCCGTGCTGCTCTGTCCCATCCGGGTGACCCTGGAAGTCAGCTTGCAACCCGGGCCTGTTTCCTCATCCATACACTGTGGATGATAAGGATGCCTTTCACCTCTAGGAAACCTCGAGGCTTTTCATACACTGTTTTGTCTGGGTCCGTGGCCTTCCCCAAGGCACTTTGGATGCCTTTAAGGAAGGCTACCATCAGTTTGCTGTCCCCAGGGAGCCAATGGGCATGATCCATTCAGAGACGCAGCAAGTTGCACGGCATCGATGGTGGAGAGCTTGGGATCAGAAACTGGCTCGTACGGGGAAGTGGCTCCACTGTCAGCAGGAGGCCTGGAGGCTCCAATCTCTCAACAACTTAGCCAGTCAGGGTGCTCCAGGATGGGTGCGGGTGAGAGTGGACACATCGGTGGGGACACGAGGGGCTGGTGTTCGACCAGTCGGAGTCTGGGGTCCGCCTCTTTAAGGGAATGCCCGGGTCCCTGCACCCCCAGTCCCCAACCCCTTTTGGGCTAAAGGCACCCCTGTGCCAGGTAACCTGTGCCAGGCAGTCCACAAAGAGCTACCATGACTGTGTCATACGTCTGCTTGTCCCTGCGGTGCAAGGACCATGTGAGCGTTTGGGTCTCTCCAAGGCGAAGGCCACGTCAAGGCTCCTTCTGCAAAACATCTCAGGAAGTGGGACGTTTGGTTCATGGATATCAACTCTGTACTGGCCTCAAATTCTTTCCCTTCACTGGAAATAAGGCAGCAACGAGCGTCCTCGGTGATTCTCTCCTGGCCTGGCCCACGCTGCCTGCCGCCCGTGGTAAAGCCCCTTACTCAAACGGGCAGGAGAAGAAGAGACCGCAGGAGTGGAGCTGGAGGCCCAGCGAGAGGGGGCCCTGACGGCCATGGGGGCCTGGGGGAAACTGCACGGCCTCTTTGTCCAAGGCACCATTCCTGGACACGAACCACCATGCAAGGGGATGCTTGCATCCTGGTCAGGACCCATGCCCCGCCCAGACCTCTGTGAGGCCTCCTAGGGTGGATGCGCGGTGCTGCACCATCCGAAACGCTATCGCCTCCTTCCCGCCACCGGAGGGCAGAGTTGGGGAAATCTGTTCCGCTTTGAAGGAGACAAGGCTCCCAGTCTGACATCTTGCCAGGGAGATGCTGCGTCTGAGACCAGACATCCGGAGTACTGGCGGCTTCCACAAACCTGAATCTCCAGGAGCCCTGACAGGTGTCACCGTCCCCACATAGGACGTTTGACCCCAGAAGGGAAAGAAGACGGTGGTCCCTTCCGTAGGCTCAGAACACAGCTTTGGGCATAAATCTGTGGACAGAATCGATTCTTAGGAGGGTGACAAATTGAGCAAAGAGCAGGGGCATTTGACACATTAAAAGATTGTGCCAAATGGTCTTCCAAAATGATTGTAACACTTTTCATTGCTACCAACAGTGACTGAGTGCCTATTTTCCAACATCCTCACCAGCACCAAGTGTTATGCTTTTTAAAACTTCTTGCCAAATTGATTGTAAAATATCTAACAGATTTGACTTGCATTTTTAAACTTACAAGTTTTAGCATTTTTGGCTGTAGCAAAAATTCAAGAGGAGCCCAAGTGTCTACCAAGAGGATACGAGCAGCATGAATTATTGTTCATATATTCAATGTAATAACACATGGCTCTTAAAACAACGAGACAGATCTGTGCTGATGACTTATACTCACAGGAAGGACGCTCAGGACACAGTGTTAAGTGAAAATGAAAGTTGCAGGAGTTTTGTGTATAATTTTAACAACCTCCACACACACACGTGCATACACATGCATACACGTACACACACGCCCATGTGTGCACACCTGCACATTCATACAAACACTCGCACACACATGCCCCACGAGGAGGCATCAGTGGGCATCAGGGAGGAAGACGTGAGACGGAGCCCGCCCAGCCCATGCTCATCACGTGACTGCCTTCCCAAATCCCGACAATCGTGACTTGCTTCCAGCGAGCCAGGCTGTGCAGCCAGAACATCTGAGAACAGAAAGGGAAATGTACACGTGTCAAGCGTCTGACACTAGTAGGTAAGTAAAACGGCACGAGCCTGCACCCCGTGTGCGCCGACGACAGCGACAGCCCTCGTGCCCTCTGACGTGGGACTCAGCACTTCTGCAGCCCTTCGGGCCCGGCATGGCTCGCGTAGAAACCACGGCAGCGCATGGCTGCGAGCTGCGTTAAGACCTTTATTCCAGAAACGTTTTTCTTCTGGGGAATGTTCATTCGAAGCAGAGGCTTCAAAAAATGAACGCAGACAAGAAAGTCTGACTAGGCGGCCACGGCATGTCCAGTCACACCCCGCATGCGGCGTGGCTCGTGTCCGTCAGCAGCGGGGATCGCCGAGGCAAACGCTGGCATCTCGTCTGCGAGGTGACCGTCCCCTGAACCTATCCAATGCGCTCCCGTATTCCCAGGCAGGCTGATAAAGTAGTTTGATACCAATCAGTTGTAGATTAGATTCTGCAAAGCACATTTTCCTAGGAAATCCAATTGCACCTGCTTTGGTTTCTGGGGCAGTATCCGTTATTTGGTGATGGTACATGATTGTGCTTAGGCTGTTTGAGAAGAGAGGGTGTGATCCTTCATCTGACACGGACCAGATGAGACTGCACCAGGGGCTTTGGAAGGGGAGGGGCCGGAGTGGGCACCCTTGGGTCCCGTGCTGGCTGGGCAGCCCCGTCTGCCCCTCTGCTTGGCATCTCCCCGACCAGGACCTGCCCCAGGGGCCCAGCCTGCAGGCCGTACATCCGAAGGCAGGCATTTGGTGGTTCTCACCGTAATTTATTTTAATTACGTGTGACATAAAGATACCACCTACAAATGAGACAATGCTGCCATAAGAGTCTCAAGGTTACTGTAGGGAATACTTCATAACCGAAGTGTGTTTTCCCCAA